CGGCGCCGTGGGTTCCCAAGCCCGCCACCGGGAGTTGCACGGGGGCGGGCAAAGCAAAGTCAGCTGCTAAAAATAAACCAAAAGCCATCCATTCTGCACCAGCTGTTGCTGAGAACCCCAAACCACCCGTGTTTGAACAGCAGTGTGGCTGCTGCAGGGGTTTTGTTTGCGCTCGCTCGGTTTGGTGGTTGCTGCTTGGCTTCAAGGTAGCATCTCCTACCATGGTCTTCTTGAGCCGTCTTGTCTTGGTGTTTTGCAGGGCCCAGCCTGAAAGTCATCAGCACCATGTCCGTGGGGTTTGACCACCTTGACTTACACGAAATCAAAAAGCGGTAACTTTTGCTCCTGACAGCCACTTTTAAAATGTGTTGTGTCCCTCTTTGGGGTGGCCTTGGTTCCCGTCACTGTTTTTGCCTAGCTGTGAGTTACAGAGAAAAGGCAGAGAGAGTATTGAGCTGGGGTGAAGGAGGCAGAGGGAGACTGTGAGAACTTGGAGTTGGTCCTGCAGTTAAGGCTGTAGGTTGCTTCAGCACAGGGCACCAGGGATGGATTTGCATGGTGAGAACTTTGCAGCTTGCTGAGACAAAACCCCAGCGGAAGAGACGTCAAATGAAAGAAATGCCCTCCCATGTGTGACAGCATAGATGCCCAGGAGAGGTTTAACACCAGCATCTTTCCTGAGAGCATGAGGTGTTACCCAGCACCATCCGTGCTGATCTCCAGGGGCCTGAGTGCTCTGCTTGCCTTGCAGGGGGATCCGAGTCGGGTACACCCCCGACGTCCTGACCGATGCCACTGCCGAGCTCTCCGTGGCCTTGCTCCTAGCCACGTGCCGCCGCTTGCCAGAGTCAGTAGAGGAGGTAAAGAAGTGAGTATTCGCAGATGAGTGCTGGAGCGGGGCTAGTTTTTGAGCTGGGGTTGAATGCATGCATGCCACGTTGGCAAGGGACATGGGGCTGAAGGTGGTGTCCCGCCAAGCTCGTAGCAGAATGTCCTATGGGCTGGCAAGGGGTCCCCTGTGTTCCTGCGGGTGCAGGTAGGTTATTCAGGGCTGTTAAAAGGCCAGAAGTGCCCTCTGAGCGCCCCGAGTGTGCCAGCTGCAAGATACGAGCGGCTGAGACACTCCAGTGCCTTCCACGAAGGAAATGAGGGAAGGTCTGACCCTACTTTGTTGAATTCCCAGGGCCGTGGTTAGTCGTACATAAATTATATTAGTCCCAAGGCTGCTGCTGCTGGTTACCCAAAATTTGAGCAGAACCCTGCAGAGGTATCTGGAAACAGCCAACTCCAAGAGCCGAATTGTTTCCCCGTTTCCCATTCATCTGGATTTGATGGGCTGAGAGCTTATAATTTGTGGTGGGCTTGTCCAAATGCTGGGTTGGACTTTGTGGTAGGCTCTGCCTTTTTTTTTTTTTTTTTTTTACTCTTGCCGCTAGCGGTGGCTGGACAACGTGGAAGCCCTTGTGGATGTGTGGCTATGGTCTGTCTGGCAGTACCGTGGGCATCATAGGCCTGGGAAGGATAGGTAAATTGACAGTAAATTCACATCATGCACCAAATCTGTCTGTCTCTGGCTATGGCAGAGTGTTCCTGGAACTTCAGCCAGGTTGTTTTCCCCTCTTGTCTCTCTTTAAAATCCATTAGAAACATGAGGAAGGATAGATGGAACACCTGAGGAAAGCAATCCTGACTCACCAGGCCTAGACTTCAAAATTTTGAGCATTCAAGTGTCTGTATCTGAGTGTGTGTACCTGAGCTGGATGTTTTTCTCTGAATTCTCAGTTAAAACAAACATGCCAAGCAAAGTCCAGATAACATGCTGGGTTCAGTTGTGCAGTGTGGACTTTGTCAACAGCTTGCTCGCTTTACAGTTTGCGCTCTAGGTTACTTCAGGCCTAACACCCCACAGTTCCCTTTGCCGAGGCTTATCGTAACTGAGCGTTTATGCCCGCCCGTTATTTCCACTCCTGACACATGCCAAGCTCGAATCGAGCCTCCCAGGAGCAGTCACAGTTTGAGGGGTTGCAGCGACCCTTTATCGAGTGGTGTGTTCTGCCGTTTGCTTTCCTTGCAGCTGAACAAGCCTGAGCTTGCCCAAGATGCCCCCTTGGTTTCCATGCCTCTCTGCAGAGGTTTGCACCTGCCTGGAAGGTCTCATCTCATCTCTTGTTTCTAGGACAGGCAGTTGCCCGCCGTCTAAAGCCATTTGGAGTCAAGAAGTTTTTGTACACTGGCAGTCGTCCGAAAACAGAGATTGCTGCAGAGTTTCAGGCTGAGTTTGGTAAGAAGTGTAAATGAAGCGGGGAAGATGCTTAATCTTCAGCTGCAGGGTGGCTGCAACAGGAATGACATGATTCTGGGAAGGTGTCACCTAGAGGAGTGAAAGGTCAGAGCTGGAAAGTTTCTGAAGGCTGGAGCCTTTCAGTAGGTTCCATCAGTACAACTGGGCTCAACTGTTTTGAAGGCATCAGAAATAACTGACAATGAACCTTGAACAGTTGTTATACGGTGGAACTGGTTGACAAGAGGAGAAATTCTGATTGCAAATAGGTGAACTTGATGCATTTAAGTTTTAACTGGCAAACCGTGACTATATGGTTATTTCTGTTGCTTTCGACTTGCATCTTTCCTGTGTCTATCTAAAATTCTCAGTTAATTTCCCTCTCAAAACCATTGCAATAGAGTGAAAGAATGAAGTCCAAGGGCAAGGTGGCTGCTGCCTTCAGGAGGAAAAGCAGTAATGAGCAGAGAGAGGGTTGGTATGAGCTGTCACTACGGTATTGCTAAATGTGAAATAGATACTAAACCCCCCTTTTGTCTAGATGACTGAAGCTTTCTTGGGTGTTCTTTTGGGTTGATTTTTATTTTAAAGTGAAATAAAACACTTTTTAAAACTACAGTAGTATCTGCAGGAACATGGCTTCATTTCTCTGTGTGGTTTCTGTTGCGGTTTGCCACCCCCTATTTCTCCCTGTCCCTGGAGAAAGGTCAGCAAAGTCTTTCCAAAGCAGCATTCACTGCTGCTAAACCATATGGAAAGAGGGCTCTTGAGATATCGTTGTCAAGCCTCTGAGCAGAGGGGTGATCTGTGTTTCTCTACTCAGTCCCAATCACGAGGCTGGCTGAAGAGGCAGACTTCGTCGTCGTGACATGTGCCTTGACACCTGAAACCCAGGGAATATGCAACAAAGATTTCTTCTGCAGGATGAAGAAAAACGCCGTGTTTATCAACACCAGCAGGTAACACTGTCTGTGCGGGTTTTGTGGCTCTAGCTGTGGTGGCAGCAGCGTGTGCTGATGTCCGGGCAGTGCAGG